GGTTAGAACCTTAGAAACAACTGGATTTGAAGATGTTTGATCAATTTCTAACATCGAATTCAATCCTCCAAGCTTTGCGTTGAATTTTAGAAGCAAATTCGTAAGGTGTTGATCATTGACCCTAGTTGGAACCATACATTGTGACAATGCCAAACTCGACAAGACTCATGGAGATCAGAATTTTCTTGTCATGTAAAACACAAAGGAGGAACTGTGAAGCTCTAGAAATTTTGGAAGTCTTCAAACATTCAATAACTTATTCATCATTTCCTGTGGCTTATGTCTAGATTTTTTTCAACCAGAGAAACGCTTTCATGGTGTTCAAGGCTTTTTTATAGTGTTGCAAGAACACCAAAGAACAAAACTCAGTGGGACGTAAGTGGGACATTTTAGCTTGCTAGAATTAATGCACGGGAAATCACCAGAACAATGCAACTGTATGTTGTGACAATGGACAAAACAATCATGTATAATGAGCTCCACTATCTCTGTTTCACCATTTTCAATCTTCATGCTTTTTTGCCTCATTGAAAATGAATGTTTGCTCAATTCAATAATCTTGTATTCTTGGAAGATATGGGTCTCCAAAAATGCCCCAACATTCATCATTTCTTGCTTCAACACTGATTCTAAGCATGCATTTTGTGTTTAAGAGTCACATGTCAACTACCAAGATCCACTCTGGAGAAATTGCCTTGTTTGAAAATGTTTTTCTTTTTCTTTTATTTTCAAAAATTTGAAAAATATCAATCAAAAGAATTTTGAAAAATGTTTAATCAGAATTTTTTAAAAAAAAAATACCCATTTCTAGATTTCACAATTGAGACAAATCATAAAACAAGAGTTCATTGGATATCAAAGAATTAATTACACTTTAAATTCTTCATAAAATTATAGCTATTTGACAAATGTTAAGATTAATGCTATCTTTGAGGTAGGGTTAAGTAAAGAAAGAATCAGGTGTCTTGGGATGTTGTCATTAGTTGAGATCTGGCATTATCGTTTCTTTGATGTTCACTGATCTGATGGAATAGATTCTATGCTCATCTACTAGAAGTGTTCTCCGGTTTTCAACTCTCATGAGCACATTCGGGTTGTGCAATGCCTTATTAAGGGATTTGTGAGATTGTCTCCCTGTATAACAGTTGCACGATCTTCATATTTGACCACCTTTTCAGGTTTTCAACTCGAACCCTCCTTTGGTTTCAAGATGTTATTCAACATTTTATGTCTTGAACCCACCTTTGTCATTTTTTCTCTATCATGCATTAAAGATTTTAGAAAACCTTTTGTAAAATAAAGATTAATCCCGATGGAAGGGATGAAATCTGAAGATAGTATCTTCTGTTTAGAAATCCATGTATGATTAGAAGAGACTTTTAGGCACGTAATGTAGGCTATGGTTCATAGTTATGGAAGAAAGGGATAAATAGACCCAAATAAGTGTTTAAGGGTAATTAAACTAAGGATCAATTCATTCTGATGCCTTCAGTCTTGTTTTGCTCAATTTGAATATGCTCGTATGTGTCTTTTATTTTCTCTGGATGTTCTATGATCTTTTGGTGAACTGATTCTAGAATAATTGTACTTGATCAATCTTATGGTTTGAAGCTTGATGCATCATTTGACTCTAGTGACTCTTTGTATATGTTTCTTGTCTTCTTTTCTTTCTTTTTTTAGTTCTTTTTCTTTTTTCTTTGCTTTTTTTCTCTTTGTTTTTTCTTCTCTTTGCTTCTTTTCTCTTTTTTTTTCTTTCTTTGCTTTTTCTATTTGCTTTAATTTGATCTTTACACTTTTTATTTGGTTCACCTTTTGGTATCTTATCTGGATTGATGGTCTTCACTCATACGAGCAGATTTCCTTCACCTTACCCCCCAGTGTAGAGGGTGACCCTTGGTTAGGGTTGAATCAGAAGAAAACATAATTCAGGCTCAAATGGGGACACAAAGGACATATATTTTCTCCTTTTGTGAAGGGATAATGAAATAAAGCCATTCATCATTTCATACACGAAAGTCTTTACAGAAGAGGTATCACTAGGGGAATAGATTTTCAGGATTAATTTTATTCACATGAAAACAGTGTAATTAATGCATGATAAAATTATTTTGAATTAATTTCCTTTTTTTTGCTTCTTGCTCCCAGCATGTCTCAATTGTTCAGGCTCATCTTTTGAAACTTGATTCGAGATGCCATACGTTGTGTATTCTTGTATAAAGGCTCATGTTCAAGTGAACATCTTGTACTCAATCTCTTCAAGTTTTATTGGTAGGAAAAAAATGTTGGTTTTGCGTATAAGAAGACGATGGTGTGACCTTATTAGCTCAACAAAAGGTCATGGTATGACTTTTGTGTCTTGAAAAAGATAAAGTTTCAAAGAGATGTAATGTCAAAATTTGATTCTTTGGTAGTGACCATGAATTATTTCGGGTAAAGAATCGAGAGATTTTATTTCTGGTTTTGGATGGTATAAGAAAGGTCTAATCTTACCATATGTCAAAAATCTATAATTCTTGAAGAACTAAAAAAATATGTAAATCATTCGATATTCGAAAAGCTACAAGATTAAAACTCGTTCAATTATTCAACCTTAGAAAGTAGCATAAATTCAATCATTAAGATTTAAAAAGTATTTAAGAAAATATTAAAGACAAAACAAAAACAAGTTCCAACAAAACAATGCTCTTTAATGCAATTGCAAAATATTTTCTGGTAGATGCAAAGATCTCTTCTTGATTATTATTATAATGCCCCATCATTCTTCGAATATCCATGCCCCTGAATCAATCAAGTTCTGGACCTTGCTTCAATACTCCAGAATTCTCTGTGGAATGTCCTAAGCTTTCTATGTGATAAATGCATATGACATCACCATCGTAGCTCTCATGATATGATAACTCTTCTAGCTTGTACTGAATGGGATTCACAAGGATTTTCTCAACCATCGTTAGAAGTAATTCCTCACAGGTAATTGGAATTAGATCACATTGACTCTCTTTTCTTGAATCATCCTATAAGGTTCATCTCTACGGCTGGCTGAGTAGGCTCCCAACGTACTGATTTCAGTTTCTTTCTTTAATTGTTCAAATCTTGCTTCTATTCTTAATGTGGTGTCACGTGATTAGGACCACTTCATTGAATTCTCCATGAATTAATTACATGTTTTCATGAATGATGCATGCGAAAATGCTTAAAAATAAAATGCAGATGCAAAATACAAATATGCAAATGCAGATGTAAAAATATTGATCCCAACAGTGAATATCTCAGAACAATTTTCACCAGAGATAAAAGCCTTCACATTACAAGATATTCCATTTTACAGACATGCTTTCGCTTAGATTTTAAGTCAGAAATGGTGCTTCATCTCAGATATTCGTCCTTGAAAATTATGCCCTCAAATGCTCTGTAACCTAACTCAGTTAATGCCCCTGCGGTGCTGAAGTCAGTGTGTCACTCCTTGATAACTATTGATGGAATGATAGTAGATAAGACTATACTACTGGATTACTTCTCGGATCAATGGATCATCTTTCCAGTCTCGAATATTGCACGATCTTCGAGCAAGTCTCATTCTTGTACTCTGAACTTCTTTTAGCCCTCTATGCATGTCTGTGTATGCTACCGCTTGATTGAAAACTTTTACCTCTTCTTGTGAAACTTTTCTCTCAAATATCCCCTTGCGGATCAACACTTTCGCATTATGTTATGTTGATGAGATGCAATGCAAAAATGATGAAAAATGACACAAAGAAAAGAATAAAAATAAGTTAGTACGGGCAAGATAATCAATAAAATTAAAAGATGCTATTTAAAGATAAATACAACACCTACTCAATCATGATATCTACCCGAGCATGCTTTTATTAGATAGTAATCCTACCCGGACATGCTTTCTACCCAAAATGATTCATTTTCAAGAAAATAATCCTAACCACATGGTATCTAGTTCGCATGCTTTTATTCGGTCAAATTGAAAGAAAAAGGTAAAGGTTTAGAAACGCTACTCCTTTTTGTACACTTATTTTGGGTACCTACTAATTGACAGAGGTTCGATATAACTATACCTAGGGTGATTGTTCTACGGTTCGCTATATGCATGGTTTTGGCTCTATGAGGAAAGGGTATTCGAATTGTCCTTGATGTCGGTGCCCCATTGGGATGGCAAACCCTCGATCCTTACCCCGCCAAACCCTCGATCCTTACCCCTTACAAGTTTCGAACGGAATGAGTTCAATTCTAGGGTATTCACTATCTTATACTCATACGAGGAATAAATCCCTACGAAGGTATAATGTATGTATCCCATGGGTTATTTGCCAAAACTCATACAAAGAATAAATTCTTACGAGAGTAAAGCATTCACCCCGACTTATTTGGATCGAAGCTCGGGTATAGAGCTTATGCCATGCAAATGCACATGATATGTGTGAGGAGGAACATTCAAACCTTTGACTAAAAAGGAAACGAAAAAAACTTGACAAAATCTTCAACAGAGCTGAAAAAAATAAATTAAAACGTTAGTACGATAAACATACAGAAATTAAAAAAATCAATAAATGGATCATAAACTAACTATAGACTCGAACTCTTGATTTCCACTACAATAATAAGGTGTAAGCTACTTATAACTTGACTCTCTAAGGGCCCGTTTGGATCAAAGATTTTAGGATTCCCTGGTAGATATATTTTTTTCCTGACTAAGGATACTCATGTTTGGTTGGGTAAGATTCCCAAGTGAAAGTAATATTTCTTTCCCAACAGTAAATATTGTGTGTTTATTCCTGGAATATTATTCCCATACACATGTTAGGTATTCTTTTATTCCGGTGTGTTAATGGCTAAAATACATATCTTCTTCTCCCCGTGAGCTTGCCTGGTAAGATTTTTCTCCTCTCCCTTTCGTGATGTCTCGCATTTTAAGTTTTTTTTTCTTCTTCTCTTTCGTCATTTCTTTGGTTTTAAGATTCTGAGGGTTCTGTTTTCTCCCTTTTGAGACCATGGCTGGTCGTTTTATGAGGTTTTTGTATCTGGGTTTTTTGTTTCAGATGCTGGGTTTGTTTGGTTTTTGAACAGAAATTTCAGCTTTGAGCTCGCTTCATACTACAAATTCTGATCTTTTTTAAGCTGACTCTGGTTTCTTGTTCTGTGTAGATCTCTGAGCTTTTCGTTTTGAAAATGGAAAATTTTGTATGTTGAATGATGACGAAAGTGAAATTTGTGATTTGTAGTTTATGTTTGTTGGGTCGAAGAACGATGATTGAGAGATAGGGCTTGATTCTGGTTTTATTTGGTTTTTTTTTTTGCAAGTTATTCAGCTAGGAAAAGCATGGATAGAATGATTCAACCTCCATTGGTAAGCTAATTAACTCATTCCTGCTTATTATCTGTTTGAAATTACTAGCTTTAAAGTTGAAATCTATTATGTTATCTTTCAGCATATCATTTGTGTTTAGTAGTTAATTGTCTTATTCTATTCATGTGGCTCTCAATTGAAGAGCTTTCAATACATACTGCTTCCGCTCGAGGCTCTTGTTCTTTAAGTATCGGTGGAATTATTTTTGGTTTTCTATTTTGATGCTAGCTCACTCCCTAATGGTTCGGTTTGTTACTTGGATCTTGCAACTGTTTTCCCCCCTTTTAAATTGATTAAAGATAACAGAGTTCAACATCACTTTAGATTGTAATTGTGCATGCTAGAACTGTTGTATATCATCATAAATTGATGATATCGTCGTCGTTGTCGATGTTGCTATCAGCCTAGTGCATCTTACCAGCTTCATGTTACTGTGATAAGAAAGTATAAAGGGAAAAATAAGATGTAAAGAATATATATATTCGTCAATTGTGAATGTTCTTGGAATAGAAATGTCAGTCTCTCATCTGGAAGTTATAGAGGTAATGCTGGATACGGTGGTGGTAACTATGGAGGCCAAGGAAATTATGGTGGTTTTGATCAATCTGCTGCAATCAATTTCGATGGTGGGAATTTCAATGTTGCTGCTACTGGTGACGTTGCCACCGGAGGTCCTGCTGGATATGGAAGCCAGAATACGGGATTTGATGGTAGTGATCAATTCGGTAGTGCTGAAGATGGCTTCAAGGAGGGAAGAGAAGCATTCGACTCAAACGAGCCAATGAATGAGAACTTCCGGGACAACGACGATGAGAATAGAAGTGATTTCGCCAAAAGGGCATGAAGCAAGTCTGTGTCAAGTAGCAGTAAATTGTTTGGTTATTTAGTTATGGTCGTTACTTTCTGGGAAACTAATTTTTATGTGATTTGAGTTCGAATAAATTTAATTTCTTACTTATTTGAATTATGTTTTTGTAATATAAATTCATGGGATAAATAATAATGATAAAGTATGAAGAATTAAGTATAAATATAAAAAATAAATAAATAAATAAATTATTGTATATATAAGATATAATAAATATTATATCTTAGATAACAAAAATAATTTACATCTTTTTATTATTATAAATATCTATAAAGAATTTTCACAATGTAAACATTTAGTTAAATGTTGATGTAAAATTTTAATATATTTTTAGATAAATTATGTAAAATTTAATATTAATTAAAATTAAATAATACATGATATATTTAAATACTCAAGTAATATATTATCAACAAATGTAATTTTTATATAAATAATTTTTATTTAAATATTTATAATTTCACTTGTTAAAAAATATAAAACAAAGACAATTTGGTAAAATATGCATTCCTGTAATCTTTTATTCCTTCAACCAAACACTGTAATCTTACATTCCTGTCAAACTAACCAAACACAGTAATGTAACATTCCCAATAATCCTATTCCCTGGTAATCTTTTATTCCCACTGGTAATCTTACATTCCGTGAACCAAACAAACCCTAAAAAAACTCCCCAGTAGAGCCGTCAAGCTGTCATAACCATTTTTTAAAAATAATTAAATATTATTTTTTTAAAAACCATTATGACTTTATTTGATTTTATATTAATTTTAATTAAATTGAAAGAGAGTCGTCATCGACTTTGAGTTAGGTAGGTCAAATACCTAAAAGTGTCTTTTAAAACAATTTTAAGGAAAAATCGTTTTTTAAGACAAAAGTTGGTTTGCTCTTACCAAAAATTCGATTTAACAGGTCCAGGAGTCGATTACGTATGGGAAAGGATTATCACCCCCACAACGCCCAAAATTGGTACTTGATCGCTTACACGTTGTCGTAATAGTGGAAATCATGAATCACATATAAAGATAAAATATGATATATATTTATTAAGTTGCTTCAAATTATTTATATTATTAGGGAAAATTCTTTAATTAGAAAAGAAATCTCGAAATTAGCAATCCTCAATCGGGAAAGATATCTTGCCTATTTCTTATCAGTAAAAGAATATTCATTCATCATTTATTTTAAAAACGCTAATTGAATATAAATGGATAATCTACATTTACGTAGAATAAATTACCACATAAAAACACATTGAATTATTTGAATAAACAAGATTTAATTAGTAAAATGAACTAGATTTATTTCAAGTTCTCATTTTGTTCGAATGTCGTATCAGATCACACTACTTCGACCAAGTAGTGCTTTCCATGCTCATTCTACAAATAGGTGTTCTTGAAAAATATTCAAGTGAAATATTTAAAATATTAACATCAAGTACAAGATATATTGACAATTGGGCATTTTAAAAATGAAATAGTTAAATAAGATCAAACAAAATAAATTAAACACTAATAATATACTGAAATACATGCAAGTAATATGATATATAAAATACATTCATCTTATAATAAAAAAACTATGATATGTATATAGTAATATTCACATGTACAAAATATGTATGTGTAAGTCAAGGACTAATATATAAACATGTAATCATTGAAGACTGGAATGTAAACAAATGAAACTAAGCATACTAGGTCATTAAAAAGACTAAATAATAATAGTATTACCTTGGAAAGCTAAACTACCACAACAATAATCCAGATGAAAATAGGAAATATTAAACAATTAAACACTAAAGATGCAAATAAACTACAAATAATGTTTAGGACTAAAATGAAAATCATCACAAATAAATGTCCAATTCAAAAGATTATAAAAACACGAACCAAGAGATACTTAGGACCAAAATGAAACGCGAGTAAAGTCATATGCTTAAAATAAGAAGATTCCATTTCATGACCCAAATACAAGAGTTTATACAAAATACGAGGGATGGGTATGAAAATATCTGCTCACATCAAAACGCATAGCCCCATCTCTCTACCGAACAATGTCGTTTCACGCTTAGGTATAAAGGGCCAAAAACCAAGCCAAACCGGCCAAAGCTCCTCATTCCTCTTATATCTCTTTTCTATTTTAACCCTAAATGAAATAAGCTCTCTCCCCTCCCCTAGTTTTCATCTGCCGCAAAAAGAGAAGAGAGTGTCACAACCGCCGTAAACCGACAGTGAGAGCGAGCGAACCAAGCCCTAATCTCCTCTCTACCCCTCGTTCACCCTAAAGTTTTAAGTCTTGTTCTTTCTCCCCCTTAAAACCCTAAAATCAAAACCCAAACCACAAAGGCAAGAGTTTTACCTTCGAAGTTGGAATATAGTTGCTCCGGCGAAATAACAGTGGTCGAATCTTTGCCCAAACGTGAGTTTCTTTGGATAGTGGCTTGTTTTTGGGTTCAGAACTCCTCTTGTCCGAATAGTTTTTTTTTGTTTAGATCTCATTCCTTTTTTCGATTCTTGAGGGTTTTCTTCTCTCTGTTTTTTTCTTTCCCCAAAAACTCTCTGTTTTCTCTGTCGAATGCCCTCCCCTCTAACTTCTCTCTACTCCCTCTCTTTTATCCCCTTGCATGTTGATTTAAGGTGAGATGATGAGGCTAAAGAATAGGGGAATGATTCCACTAAGCTTGGGTAAGTGAGAAAATCTATGATCCCTGATTTGATTTGATGTTGTTTTTTTTACTGGGCTTTCTATGATATTTGCCGACTTCTTTGGTGATGGATGGTGTCACTGTTTGGTATAGCTCAATGATGACAGCGGCTCGGGAAGCAATCGGCGATGGCTCATGCGGTTGGGGAGTTGGGCTGTGAAGCTAACGGTGCCGGTCTGGTGGCTTGGTGGTTTCGGCGGCTGACAACAAAATATGAGCTAGGGTTTCAAAACTCTAATTGAATCGGGTCGTGTCGGCTGTTGGGCCGGTTCGGGTCGGATCCGGATCTGAACAACTGTTTGTAACTGGTTTGGGTTTTGTCCTTATAGTTGGGCTCTGGGTGAGGGCCTAATCCGTGTTTGGGGCTTGTGTTGGGCTTGTAATATTCTGGGCCTGTAATACAAATTAATTGTTAATAAAATAATAATAATAATAATAAATAATTAAAATATAAAAGAAAGACTCTGGACAAAAACGAGTTTCTACACTTCGAATATCCCATAATTCAGCTTCTAAAGTTGAGCAGATTCCCACAGCTTTAGTGAATCCCATTAACCAGTCTCCATTGTTGTTTCTTAACACACCTCCGCAAGTTGCAAATCCGCTGTGCGTATTCCTTGCTCCGTCCGTGTTTACCTTAACCCACTCGTTGGGAGGAGCTGTCCATTTTTTTATTCCATCTGTTTGTATATTCCCTGGTTATTCGTTTTGATCGTAGACACCAGGGCTCCATTGCTTTCCATTTGAATCCTTAAACCCTCTGTCAATATGGTTTCTCTTCCCAATTTATCCGGATCGAAAACACACAGATTCCTATGTTTCCAGATTGTCCATAAAATCTCCCCAAATAGGAGGTCCCATCCCTCTGGTGCAATCGCAAAGTAGTCAGGATTTAGTATCTTATAATTTATACATGACGAAAATATGAATATCTTAAACAAGGGAATGAAAAAAATAATCGGAGATCAATCTGAAAATTTATATTAATTACAGGTTAAAATGATGTTTTGTATCCTATAAACTTGATCGACTCATCTATCTTATTCTTGGTACAAGATATATAATACTAAAAAGTTAGGTAGGCTTTTCCACCAATTATGAAATTGAAGGACTCATGTTGTCAATTCAAAATACATACCTATCTTATTCTTTTATTGGAGAACATTATCTTATTCTTTTATTGGAGAACATTTAAGCTTATATATTTTAGAAGGGAATCATTTTGTAGCATGCATGAACAAGTCTTTAAATAGTTCGACAATAATTAGACTTCTGGTACCAAACGTTCCCACAATATATGAGGACATTAATTTATATATATTCTTACATAAAAACGAGAAATCACTCACAGAATAAAATAATATTAATAGAATTACAGACAAAATATAAATAATATTCTATGAATATGTATACTCATTAAAGAATCAAGTATTGTGTCCTAAATCGATGTTGGTGGAGATTCCTCACCGACAGCGTTCCTCGGACACGGAACTAACATGCAAACAGAAACAATTCGAAAGTTGAGCTTGACAAGTTTAGTAAAACACATATATTCTACTATACTTCATGTAATTCATAAATATATGTATACAAATCAATTGGTACATTGGGGAAGTGAAAATTTGGTCCATGTTAAAGTTATCTAGCTTCTACGAGCATTAGGTATTGCATCGTCTTCAAATCTTCTACTTCATCTCCTACTTTCAAAAATTTTTCAAATTGGTTCATGACTTTCAACTGTTGGCTTCAGCATCAAATCTTCTTGAGTCCAACTTGTTATCTTAGCAGGTAGATGTCTGGCTTATCTCCTTAGTAGGTAGACTCTCTCTTGACGCTACTCGATTTACGTAGAGAATCTTTGAAATTGTATCGAACCCAATAAAAGGCATTGTTGTGGGCATTATTTTTCAAGAATCTTCTAAAAGATAAGTTATTTCATGGATCAATATCTTTGAAGGATATGTAATGTTCACGCAAAAATACAATAAAACACAAGACAAGACAAAAGGAAGCCAAGTTAGTGAAATAATGATCAAATAAAAGAAATGTGTGTTAAAAGATCTGAAATGATTAAATTCAATCGGTAAATAAACCATGAATATAGTGAATAAAGAAAACAGATAAAATTAAAACTCTAATTGCATGCATTCTAGTTCTCTTAGGGTATCCACATGGCTCTAGCGGGGTAGGTCTACTAAATTCTCTAGATGAGGTTGAGTTCTATCAAAGGGTCCCCAAGCCATGTTTACAACCTGCTAAGGTTGACTCC